ACACACACACACACACACACACACACATTTGAACTTGTCTTAATTTGTTATTTTCTTTTAGGTAAATTTTCATAGCCTATGATGAATTGGAGATAAAATATTTCTAGAAATTAGGATTCTCTTTTGCTTTAAAATGTCATGTAAAAATATATAGATGTTATGAAGCATCTCAAATCCTTCATAATTCCTCTTTTATAAAGTCATTACTTTGTATAGCATGATTAGTGTTATAAGTTAGCAGTTGTAATATTTTCTTATGTAAATAGTTATTTGCTAAATACTGACACAATCATATACATAAAAGTTTGATCTCATTTTAAGAATTAGTTGTATAAGCTCAGACCAAGTGTATAAACTTAAATTGAAGGACTATTATACAAAATTTTAGCTATATACAGTACCATTTTCAATATAAACCACCAAATAGAACTTAAATACCTTTAACAAAAATAAGTAAAATATTCTCTATAGATTATTTGATCAAGACATATAATTGACTTCACAAATATAAAATTAATCTCTCTTTGATTTTACTAATTTGGGATTTATCGGATGTATTTCATCCCTGAAAGCACACTAGACAATCTCATGAATAGTCAAGGAGGCAGTGAACAGATACTGAAAAAGAGTACATCTACCAATTGACAATCACTGGATTAAGGGTTACAATAATTTTTGAATTTTGATGACAACTATTCCAACAGTAATTTATTTAAAAATCTAGGGACATTTCTTTGGTATGTGAAATTTGGGCTTGCTTTATAAAAAAAACTATTATCATAGCCATACTCTTTTCAAATCAAAGGTATAAGAAATAATGGATGTTTTCAGTGCTATCCTATTCTAGATCAAGCACAGTGGTTTTTAATCCTATTTTTTCACCGCACACATCTCAATGTATAATAGACACATTCATTAGTAATAGTAGCTCACTATGTCTGTGGTTCTCAAACCTGGAGAGTGGATTGGCAAGAGGATTTAAGAACCCCTGGGGAAGGTTGTTTATTTTGAAAAAAAAAAAAAAAAAGGTACGGAGAAACTGAAATGCCCACTCATTAAGAAGCCGGAATAGCAAGTTGGATAAATGCCCATAAGAAAGGCAATTTCCCGTTTTAAATGTGAAAATTACTAGAATCAATAGGATTATTCTATAAATTTTTCTGCCTGCATCAACAATCCCTATGCCTATGTGAAGATGATTATTAGCTTCCTATACATATGGACTTGTGCAGCTTTGTTAATAAATAGCAGAATCTATCTCCCATTCTGAATAGCTTATAAAACATTGATACAAGGAGTTGCATTAATATGCTGAGGCTTAATATTCTTTTTTTCCAAATATGAAATAAGAATTTATTTTAGTCGAAGCTATATAGACATTCCATTACATGCTGATATTTTACAGACATACGTAAATTATGTTCTTCATTAAACAAGCTAATACGTTTACTCAGAGTAGCCAAAATATACTCAATCATACTTTATTATTTCTTTTCTGCTAAAGAGCATTTTGTGCCACTAGTGAACAGACAAAGCCCTCCCATTACTTGTCTTCAATAAAGCATTATTATCTTGTGGCATTCTCTTGCACTAGGAGAAATAAAAAGTCACATGTGGAGAAGTTCTAAATGCTAGACAGAAATGATCCTTGGAGGGCAATTTTTATCCTCCACGGAAGTACTGCAGACTTCTTCCATTAGTGTAGTCCCAGGGAGCAAAAGGTTAGGGACCTGGGCCTGCCAACTGTACCTGAACCCATAAGTCAACATTTCCTCGAAGCAGTGAGAGTGCACCCGCAGGTGCATTAAAGTATCTGAAATGAAAAACAATTGTAATATTTTATGTTGGAATATACTACACAGATGGTGACATTTTGTTTGTGGTTGTAGGGAAGAAAGGAAGGTAGTGTCCAGATTTCCCCCTCAACACCTACCATTTGGCATAGGATATGGGAGGTGGGAGAAAACGGAGGGAGTTTTGCTGCAGTTGAAACAGCTGGGAAACAGATGGAAACTGATGTGAAATTTGCCAAAAACCTTGCTGGAGGCTTGTACCCATGTCTTACCAAAAAATAGCTAGTAAGAAGTCGTGGAGGACTTAGGGTTAGCAAGTGATAGGCTTTGAAAACTGTAAAAATACAAAGTCAAAAAAAATGTAGAATAAAAAAGCCCCCAGATCACAAAAAATACAAGTCCAGAAATGCAATTCTAAGGAGTGTGTTTTTAACAAAAGAGAGTGAGAGTATTGTGGATGAAAACCACAACAGAATCATATATATAAGGATGAAAGTAACGGCTGGATTAATGAACAGGGTGCTGCCTCACTATATTGAAGTTCTGTCTTGTAGGTGATGATATCAAGAAACCCACACACACTCTTTGTCATATAATTAATGAAATTTAATTATAATTTGATGGTTCCTTCTGTGCTTATCACAAATGTAAGTGTCCACAACTCACTTCATTTTAGTCACCGGATTTCACTTCGTGAGCAAATTTGATTTGGAATTCAGGCATTCAGTGAATTGTCTTTCATTTTAAATGTTGAGTTCCAGCCAGATTTTTGTTTAAATCCAGTCACTGGATGTATAAACCCCCTGTTGTATATTTCCAGTTACAATGGGTATGTGTATGGATCCATTACATGTGATCGTACTTCCAAGCACTGGCCTGTGCTTCGTGTGTTTGTTTGTGTGTATGTGTGGTATTCATGAAGTACTTTTAAATATCGCAAAAGTTAAAGATCAGTTTCAAAGAAACTAAAATAAATACAAGTTAATAGGCTTTCCTCAATGTGAATTCGTTCATTCATGCTTACATAAGGGAATGTGCTAACTATGAATCATTCAAATTGAATTGCTCATGAGAAAAAATTCACTGGCTTTGCTGTCATTTTCCATAGTTGCTTGACTGAAAGGAAAAGAGCATTGTCCCCATATTAAAAATAATCAGCCACAGATTTCAGGCAGAGCATGGTTCCAAAATGGCAAAAATAATTCTGATTCTCATGAGAAAATAGATACTTGTGAGAGGGACTTTCTAGCTGAATATTCTGTACTGTCACTGGGTTTACAGGCTGCAGAACAACCCTTGGAAAAGTAAAAAAAAAAAAAAAAAAAAAAAAATCAATCATTTGGAAGTTTTGCTCACATGGTGCCAGAATAGCAAAATGCTTTAACGATGTGAATGTTGACAGATCTGTAACTAAAAACAAATGAATGATGGACTGCAGCATCACTTATAGTCAGGTAAGTTGGCGTTGCATAAACAGAGTCTACCTGAAGGCTCACACATCATCTACGGCATCACTCTCTTGGTCCCAGTGGCTTTCTAGAAAGAGCAATCAATGTGTTTGTGGCACGTCACAAACCACATCTGTGCTGGAAAAAGTCCCACCTGCCCTGCCAAGGTGAGGAGCCTTTTAACATGGGAATAAGTGACAAGCCCAGAAATGTGGTCAGTGAATGATGAGGAATTTTAGACAGTGCCAGTGCACCAATCTGTGAAACGGACTCTGTGATCCATCAGGGGAAAAGTAACGGCCAGGGTGCCAAGACATCGATGCAAACTTATTGCTGCTGCCACTCCTTGCTACTAGACATAGAAAACCTTACATCTGGCCCTTTTAGATTCTGGTAAGAATCAAAACAAAAGTGTTTACATTCAAGTGCCATGTCTAGTGAATTTCCATTATGCAGGGCCCTCTTTACTTCAGTGAGACTTCCCCCAGGCCCACAGAAAGAAAGAAAGAAAAAAAAAAACTAAGAAAAAAAGGCATTTCTTGGCATACTTAAACATAATTGGATGAAAAACAAATATAATCTAAAAAGATCCTTTCTAAGCCAGACCATATTATATTTGTCAATTTTAAAAAACAATTAAAGTGTCACTCTTTGTAACCTTTGGTTACATTCGGGTGAGCTCTTAGATGAGTTCATTGCACTTCCAATTTGTAAAGATATAGTGTGGGCGTAAGTGTGTCAAGACAACTAGAGACCAGAGATAATTTTCAGGACAGTACTAACACACACCTTTATGTTGGTTAGGTTGATGTTTCACTGCAGATAAATTTGACATGAATCACCAGAGCCGGGTATCATTACTTTTTTCTTGGTGTATGTGAATTATTTTTTTTATTATAGACACACATTTTGTTCTTCAGTGTAATGTCTTCTATCCTACATTTCATGAATATTATGAGAATAAATGAAATACTCTATGTTAATGATGTCTTAAACTCTTAAGAAGATGTAATGATATGCTCCAGATTGTTATTGTTATTGCTACATTGTACTGTAAGCTTTGGTGTTTTGGATTGCTTACGTTTCATGTTGTGCATCTTATGTTTATCTTATTTAGAATGAAAAACACATTTTAAAACCCTATTCATAGTTTAAGTCATATGAGCACAATTTTATTTATAGAGTCCATGTTGGACTAAGTATGATATTTATATAAAAGAAGAGTATTGCTATTTCCATCAATGATTTTACTTAAATTGAGACTTAAAAGGCCAATAAGTACACAAGTACTTTTACGTATGCTCAGTCTGAGCTTGAACTTTTATAGTCCTGTTGCTAAACATTTGGGTTGCTCAAATATTCATATACTGAGTTGCCACTTTTTTAAAGGATTGTTCTGTTCTATCAAAATTAGGCCTCAAGTATGATTTTAAAAATCGTTAGACAAAATTTTATATCTAAAATTGTTTTCTAGAGAGGTTTGATTTTGTCTTAGTATCATGTCACAAGCTGCTAAAATTTTTCTTCATATTTTATAATAAGAAAATTAGACACTTTCCCAATTAGGCTGTGAGTTAAGAAAGAAAGATGGGAAAAATTTCAAAAGGAAATCTTACCACGTTCAGTCTTATTATCTTTGGTCTCTATTTGTTCCATACCTAGCACAGTTCTTGGAGAAGCAGTTAATAACTATGAATGATTTGATTACATGTGTTTGAATGAATGAATATCCATCCTCTCTTACTTTTTATTTTTCTAGACTCCCAAGAAGGAAATTACAAGTCAGAAGTCAACAGTAAACCAAGGAAAGAAAGGACAGCTTTTACCAAAGAGCAAATCAGAGAACTTGAAGCAGAATTTGCCCATCATAATTATCTGACGAGACTGAGGCGATACGAGATAGCAGTGAATCTGGATCTCACTGAAAGACAGGTAAAACTGGACATTGTCATTATATGATCACTGGTTAACTGCTTTAGATCACCAATCTTCTTTTGCTATTTTTGGAATACTTAGATCTAGTGTTCTTGTATACCAGTTGGAAGATAGTTGTACTATTCCATAATGAAGATTTTGCAAGCAAAATGACACAATTAAAAATAATATGTTTAAAAGAAAACCGTATTCATTGGGCTTAAGAAATAATCCTTTATTCTGTGATTATGGCCTTTCTGTATCCTTTGGCTTTAAAATATGATTTATTACACATAATTGTGGCATACGGTGAGGCATTTTGTGTTCATATTTTAAAATCTCCTTATTTGGCATCATAGAAAGTTAGCAAACCCAAGTTAGTTTCTTGTAATACTCAGGATAGGGTATGTTATGTTGAAGCAACACATTAACTCTCAAACCTCAATGGCATAACAACAACAATAAAATGTTCTTTTTGTTCACTCTCCGTAGTGATTCTACAAGTCCAGTGTTGCAAATAATCACAAACCCAATCTGACTGTCTGGCATCTTACATGTAGTGTCCTTGGCTACAAGACGTAAGAAAGAATTGGAAGTTTATACACTGATCTTTAAATATTTCACCTGGAAATGAACCACGTCATTTACATTTATATTTTAATGTCTGGAATAGTCCAGTGGTAAAACTGTTTGGGTGCAAGAAGACAGGGAAATGATAAAAGGCAAGAACATATAGATCATTGGTAAATATTTCTGCCCCTTTAACCAACACATTTTTGAAATTCTATTGGTCTTAATAATTCAAAATTCTGGTACCTACTCAGAGAACACTTTGAAGTTACAATGTTCTGTGGACCCCAGTTAATGAGACCTAAATAATATTTGTTAATTAATTGCTTTTTATGTCCTCTCCTTGAATTTTGTTTGGATGACAAATGATTTGCTCCCGTAGTGCTCTCTGTGTCCTCCTTGCATAGATTCTGATTTGCCCTAGGAGAATCTAGCCCACTGCCAACTAACAGTTGCTAATCTTTACAAAAACATTCCTGAAAGGCAAATGCAAACATCTTTATGGACAGTGCAGTTATGATTGGCCCTCTTAGGGCTAGAGTCTCATTTCCTCTTTCACTGCATGTCCCTCTTCCAGGGATCCCGCTGGAACCAAAGAAACATCAACAGGGTGTGGACAAATGAATACACGTCTTAGGAGTACAGGTTATTTTACCCAATTTCTTAAATAGTCTGCTTTCCTTCTGCTAATTTTCACATTACAACTTTGGTAGGTTATTTATGGGTAGTAGAAATATATAGAGGAACACTTTTATGTGGCTTTACTTATTGGCAGTTCATATTTTATTAAATATTATGACTCGTACCTATGTTATGGAGCACAACATTTTCCTTCCCTTGAACGTCACATACAAAATTCCTTCTATAAATGTACAACATTTGGTATGGAAAGCAAGATCCAATACCGACATCATCAGACATCTGTTTTATTTTTATTTTTATTTTAACTTAAGCAGGGAACAGGACAATAAAAAAGGTGCGTGTGTGTGGGTGGGGGAAAATGTACATTAATGTCCTTATATGGAGATGGTGAACTCCAGAAAAATGCACCCATGTTTTATGCAGTACATGAAAGAAAAAAAAAGGATTTGCTTCCAATCTGTAGAAATGACAGGATACAGACAGTGCTCTCAGCCAAGAGCAAAGACAAGATTCTGTGCTTGCTAATCTGGGGATGGTATGGTTATCAATCATTATTTAGTCATAGAGCAGAGGTTTCACTTTTGTGCAAGAATAATTTCTTTTTAGAAGCAGTTTTGCAAATCTGGCTTGGGAATTTTGAAGATATTTAGGCTAATTCTCCTTTCTTCCTAACTTGGCACGCTTGAGAAAACAGTCTATGCAAAAGTGATGTATACCTGAATGCATACACACACACACACAAATCATTATTTTTAGATGATTCCTTATTACTTTTAACTTAGCCTTTGCTGCTTAACAAGTAGTTCCAAGTTTTAGTGGCTTCCAATAATAAACAATATTTTGTTTTTTACTCACAATTTGGCTGGTCAGATATTTGGAATGGACTTAGTTGGACATTTTTTTTTTTTAGTGGGAATCTCACTGTGTCACCCAGACTGGAGAAGCAGTAGCATGACCATGGCTCACTGCAGCCTTGACCTCCTGGCCTTAGGCAATCCTTTTTCCTCAGCCTTCTAAGTAGCTAAGATTGCAAGTGTGCACCACCACATCTGGCTATTTTTTTGATTCTTTGTAGAGATGAGATCTCACTATGCTGCCCAGACTGGTCTTAAAACTGCTGGGCTCAAGCAATTCTCTGCCTCAACTTCCCAAAGTGCTGGGATTATAGCTATGAGCCACCATACTCGGTCTTAGTTGGACATTTCTACTACCTGCCTTACATTGGTTTCTCATGGAACTGCAGTCATCTGGTGTGTGAACTAAGAGCTGGTTGGTCTCTGTTGCATGTGATTTCATCTTCTTATAGGCTAGCCTGGGAGTCTTCAAATGGTGGTAGAAGCATTTCCAGGAGCACTGAGAGGGAACACTCCAGTGTGCAATGGCTTTTCAAGCTTCTTGTACCATATTTATTAATGCTCCATTGTCCAAAGCAAATCATATGCTCAGTGTCAGTGTAGGAGGATACCACTTCACTGGAAGTCATTCCTGAAATAATTTGACCACAGCATCACAGGGGAAAAAACACAAACACAAAGCACTTAAGGGATAATTAGGTTTACTTGAAAATTTGATGTTGTACATAAGATTTATTTTTATTCCATAAATCTCTATTTGTAATTTTGCAAGTTAATATAAAAATATGTTGGTGGGTGGAATTTAAATTCCCAATCAAAATTAAGTCTTTAGAGGACCCTTATTGCCTAGTCGGAAAGAGTAAAATATGAAAAATAGCTAAATAAAAATCTAAGATTTGCTGCTTGAAATGGTGTGTTTTTAGACAATTAGCAGTTTCCCCAAGACACTAAATGGAAATTAAAACTATCTGCTCTTTTTTCTACTCAGTTTTATACATCATAATAGATTTGAAAGCATTTTAGCATAAACTACAAAACACAATTATCACCCAGAAGAGAAAAATTTTTGCTATGCAAGGCATGTTGAATTAAAGCTTTAGTAACAGAAATATTTGTTGAGGTAGGAAATAAAAATCTTCTCAAAATAAGCTAGAAAAATAACTACTAGAACTCACAGAAGAGGTAAAAATTGAATAAGTATTAACAGTTGTGAAGAGTGTTGAGTTTCACAAGAGAAGAGTGATAGGGTTGTATGAAAGAATGTTTCTAATTATGGCAAATGTTAATTTCATTTTAACACCTCCAAGCATATATAGAATCTTAAATTATCTTCAATTAAGAATCTGTACACACACGATTTTAAATCAAGAATCAAATATGCAAATTATCTTAAATTGAATTTTTGGGCTAAATTTTACTGTGAAGAATTTATCAGAAAAAAATATATATATGCTGCCAATCATCAAATTTATTATTCTTGAAAGTTAGAAGGCATATTTCTCTAAAATGCTGGGGTTCTTGTCACAGTGATATATTTTCAGTTTATTTTCTGGAGTTGGGATCTTAAAGTAATTGATATAGAATTATAAACTGAACACTTTTTAATTCATCTCTAATTTGGTATACAGCTTGTCTTACTCCATTGGGCTGCTATAATAAAATACCATAGACTGGATGGCAAATAAACAACACAAATTTATTTTTCAGTTCATAGTTCTGGAGTATGGGAAGTCCAAGATCAAAGCACCAGTAGACCTGGTGTCTGGTGAGGGCATCAATCTCTGTAGATGTCCATCTTCACACTCTACCCTTACAAGACTGAAGAGGCTATCTAACCCTCTGGGGTCTCTTTTATAAGGGTACTAATCTCAATTATCTCAGTAATGAGGGGTCTGCCCATATGACCTAATCATCTCCCAAAGGCCCTATTTCCTAATGCCATCACCTTGAAGATTAAGATTTCAACACAAGAATTTTGAGGTGACACAAATATTTAGACCATAACACAGCTATTTCATTACTTTAATTTTGCACTAATGTCATAAATGTTTATCTATGCAATCTATGTCTTGACCCTACATATTCTTAAATAATACCTTTTTGTAGGATTTCCACATGAAAAATGTGCTAACTATAGATATGCAGTCTTTTCATGTTCATTCTTAAAGACTTATTTTTTCCATACATTAAAATAACCTGAGATTCAGTAAAATAGCACAAACATATGCACCAAAGAATATTACATTTAACCTTGTACTGTTCAATACTTTTTAGCTTTAATAGAATTCTCTAAATCTAAAATATTTTTAACCTTGTCAAAGCCTTTTGACGTTCAGTTGAAGAGATAGAACTCATGTATATCATGTAAAGGGAAAAGGGAAATTTTAAATCATTTAGAGCTATAGAAGAATTGGTTTTGAGAAATAATTTTCTCCTAAGTTAAACCTTACTTTATATCAGATCAATTTTCTTTTAGAGACAGTGCCTTGCTCTGTCACCCAAACTGGAGTATAGTGGTGTGATTAAAATTGACTGTGGGCCAGGCTCAGTGGCTCAGCCTGTAATCCCAGCACTTTGGGAGGCTGAGGTGAGTGGATTGCCTGAGCCCATGGGTTCGAGACCCGCCTGGGCAAATTGGCGAGACCTCATCTCTACAATAAATCAAAAATTAGCCAGTCGTGGTAGCGCGTGCCTGTAGTTCCAAGCTACTTCGAAGACTGAGGTGGGAGGATCACCGGAGCCCAGCAGGTCAAGGCTGCACTCCAGTCTAGGTGACAGAGTGATACTCCAACTCAAACAAGCAAACAAACAAACAAACAACTCACTGTGACCGTGAGCTCTTGAATTCAAGAGATCCTCCTGTCTGAGGCTTCCAAGCACCAATACTATAGGCCTACACCATTACTTCAAGCTAATTATTTTTATTTTTTTGTATATTTTAGAGACAAGTTC